TATAACTAATGAAATTATTTCTCTTATTTAATTTATTGATAATGAATAATTTTTTTTAATAAAGATATTGTAGGGACAATGTAGCGAATATAATCACTTGATGAATTTGAATGTAAAGAATTTTTATATTGGAAAAAATAAATACAATATAACTAATGAAATTATTTCTCTTATTTAATTTATTGATAAAGACATTGTAGACACATAATTCTAAATTAAAGAAATGCATATGTATTATTTTTTGTTGTAGCTACTAAATTATTATTTTAATTTAATAAGAGTAAAATAGAGTACTAATTATGTCAACTTTGATTGGGATGAGGTTCGAACCTAAGACCTTTCTTATTGGAATCAATGAGTAAGTTAACGGTGAACTAACAGAAATTAACGGAAAAGATAATATTTAACGGAAAAGTTAACGGATAATCATATTCATTAAGGATAAATTAGGAAATCTTAAGAAAAAATTAAAATCTGATCAATCTGAGCTATTCATTTGATTAAAAAACTTGACCGCCATTTTTTCTACCCATTATAGGCCTAACTCTCTTGGGCTCTTATTAGTATAGTAGATAAATAGAAAATTATTATTTTGCACCACCTTCATTAATTGTAGTCAAATATTTTTTTTTAATATTTATTAATTATTTTTGTTTAAAAATAAAAACATTATTTAAAAAAAAAAAAAAAACAAAAAAAAACAAAACTCTCACCTTCTCCGTTGAGAAGGCAGCCCAGTGAGTTGAGTGAGTTGCCTTCTCAGGTGAGAAGACGACTCACTGGCGAGGCATTTTTTTTTTATGTTTTAATTAAAAAATTTATTAATACAATATCGTAAATCGTATTTGATCATGATGGTGTAAATAGCAATATGAACACTGAACACCACCAATAAGATTGTTGAATTTTTTGTCATTTTTATAATTCCAATATACTTCACACTTATTTTTTACTAGAGAATAGTACAAATAGCAACACTCATTAGGAATTGGCAAAGATGGCATTTTTTTTTTTAATTTGGATATTTTAGGCAAAACTTTTCCAGAACTTGCTTTCAAAGGAACAGTCAAAAACCGCGAGATGCAATCAAAATATTCAAGTCTGTCATCCCCCGTATAGCCAAGAGCTTTTTTAGCTAGAAAATCAGCCACTGTATTAGCATTTCTACTCACAAAACGAAAATTAACCATAGGCATTTGATCCAGCTGGTCACGGATTTTTTCGATAATGGCCCCAAAAGGCGATAAATCAGCACCTCCCGTGACTGCTCGTGTGACAACCTGGGCATCCGTCTCTAGAATGATCCTCGTCCATCTTTTCCTCTTTATCCAGCTTAGCGCCTCTCTAGCTCCCATGGCCTTAGCTTCATGAACCCGAAACAAACCGTTCATGGCAAACATGACCACCCCCAGCACCGTACCATCCCAATCAAAGACACTCCAGCCAAAACCCATTCTGCGTCCTGTATGGTCCATTGTTATGTCTATATTAACCCTCACCTCCCCAGGAGACATTTCTGCAGTTTGTGCCGCTTGGTGATCAAACATTGGAAAGCATACGGGTTCCTCCTCATGGTCACGGCACTGCCTCCAATCTTCAGCATATAATAGCGCCTGCTGGACAACACCTCTTGGGTCTGAGTACTGCTACCGCCACACGTTTGCATTTCGCGCTCCCCAAATAGCCCAAGCCACCATCACTATTTTCTCACGCAATTCAACTGATGGAATAGTCCACATCTCCTCAAGCCAAACATTTATAGAATCCACATCAGACAATATCCAATTATCATTTAGCATGAGCCAACATTTATGAGCATATTCACAGTTGATAAAGAGATGAACAATACTCTCATTTACCTTTCCACACATCACACACACATGATCACAAGATACTCGTTTGATTAAAAGAGCATCCTTTGTAGGAAGACGCGATGTGCAAAGATTCAAGAAAAAACACTTGACTTTTGGTGGTACTCCCAAGTTCCAAACCCCCCTCCAAACAACCCCCTCACCGTGTGCCCCCCCCCCCCCCCCAGCCAATCTATATCCACTACTCACCGAATAGGCCCCCTTATCTTCCCCACTCCAAAACAGTGCATCCCGCCTATTCCCTATGGGAATAGGCACACTCAAAATAAAGTTCACATCACGCTCACAAAAAATATCTTTTAACACCCCAATGTCCCATGAATTTGGGTTTACATATAGAAGAGAGCTCACATAAGGGTTTCCCAAATAATCCTGAACCGGGGTGGCAATATAAGGGTTGTTCGTATCGGGTAGCCAAGGATCACCCCAAACTCTAGTCCGCTCACCATCCCCAATCCTCCACCTCACCCCTTGCATCAATAAATTCTGAGTTTCCCGAATACTAGACCAAACAAAGGACCGGATTTGAACCCCTATTCGCATCAAGGAAAGAGCATTTGAGAAAATATCTCGCTTTAAACACTCTTGTAACCAAAGCATCGGGTTTTGTCATAAAATTCCACCCCTACTTTCCTAGCATAGCAAGATTCATTTCACGAACTCTCCGAAAACCCATACCCCCGAACTTCTTTGGGACACACAAATCACTCCACTTACTCCACCTTATTCCCCCTCGTTCCCGTCTCTCGCACCCCCCACCAAAACGAGTTCATGGTCATTTCTATCTCAACACTCAAGCCAATTGGAAGTAGGAACACATTCATTGCATAATTTGGGATGCTCTGAAGGACTGTTTTCAAACGAGTTTCTACTATTTATTTAAATTTTTTTATTAAACGTGAAATACGTTCTCATATTTGTATAACAAATGCATGTACGATTTGCATTTTTTTGTATTTCACGTTGGATGTGAAAAGCACAAGTTGTACTTGCATTTCTCAAATAAATATGACAAACGCAAGTACAACTTGCATTTGATAGAAAAAAAAAAAAGTGGGTACGCGAGTGGGAGAGCTCCGGCTATATTTTATACGATACTTGAGTGGTTCGTCTGTTTGCCTGCAAGGGAAGATAGAACCCAAAGTTGTATGAGTTTTACTACATATACTTCTAAATCTTACTTTCTCAATTTTACTCTCTGATGTGGCAGGTTATGATAAGCTATTTTTTTTATGTGAATCCCAATACAAGTGTGTAAATCAAAATTTTGTGTATGAGAATAAAAATTAAAAATAGAAAATGAGAGTACACATAGTATTTTCTTATCGGTATACGCTACAAATCTTTAGATCTAGTAGCAATGTACTTAAAAGTTGTACCTCCAGTATATGATTATGCTTCTGTGATTGACATAAAGTGACAACTGCTGAAACATAAGAGTAACTACACAAATGGTTTTTGTCAGATTAAAAATTTAAACTAAAGATAATTTTTGTGAATGTGGGACATGGTTTTTTAGCAGATTTTAACTCCTGCAAAGTTAAGTTTTTTTGTGGGTCCCAAATGAGAGAGAAATAGCAGAAGAGTACTCACTTTGTGCGTGTTGGGCACATATTCAGCGCCAACGGGCGCACGTCTTCTACATATGTTTTTTTTTTTTTAATTTGCATCAGAACGATCAGACTTTTTTCTTTCTTTCTTTCTTTTCTTCTCTTTGTCTCCTCTTTTTTCTTATTGGCACATAAAAAATTGTGAAAATTTTGAAGATGATGTGGGAAAATACTATGTGTACTACCATTTTATACTCCCAACTTTTATTCCCACACACAAAATCTTGATGTTGACACTTGTCTTGGGACCCACATGAAAAAATAGCTTATCAGAACTCGCCACATTAAGGAGTAAAATTGAGGGAGTAAGATTTGGAAGTACATGTAATAGAAATCGATGATGTGATTGCTCTAACTCCTCATATGTCACTCCGTCACTCCTCGCAGTGACCCAATCACACCCACGCGTGGGTTAAGGCAAGGTGATCCCATATCCCCCTATCTTTTTATTATAGGAGCCCCCGATCTCCCATTTATTTTTTACTGATGACAGCCTTTTGTTCTTCAAGGTTAATGTGCAAGAGGCCACTCAAATTAAAAACTGTTTGTTTGTGTATGAGACATTATCTAGGCAGGTGGTCAATTATCATAAATCTAGTATATGCTACAGTAACAATACATGTGAGGCGGGCAGGGAGGAGGTAGCACAGATTTTAGGGGTCATCCTGGCTCCTAATTTTGGGAAATATCTAGGCTTACCCTCTTTTATTGGGAGGAATAAGAAAGCAGTTTTTGCATATATTGAGGATAAAATCAAACAAAAAATTGGATCATGGAATAAGAAGCTACTGTCACAGGCGGGTAAGAAAATCTTATTGAAAAGTGTGGCTCAGTCTATGCCTACTTTTTCAATGGGTGTCTTTTTAGTACCTGTATCTATTTGCACGGCTATTGAGAGGATGATGAACCGTTATTGGTGGGGATTGGGTACCGACCGCGGCATTCACTGGAAGGCGTGGGATAGATTGTGTATCCCTAAGAAGTATGGGGGCCTGGATTTCAAAGATTTGAGAGCATTTAATTTAGCAATGTTAGGCAAGACGGATGCTTACCAACACTGACTCATTGGTATCTCGTGTATATAAAGCAAGATATTATCCTAAACATACTTTCTTTGAAGCATGTTTAGGAAATAACCCCAGTTACTGTTGGCGCCAGCTAAGGGACTAATATGTGGTGAGTGAGACGGCGTGTTACGACTGGAAGTTCTACTTTAATTTGGGAGCACCGGTGGCTTCAGGATGACTTTGATCCTATGATCCATACGGAGATGCCACCGCAGTTGGCTAGAGCTAAAGTGGTTGGCTTGATAGATTAGGATACTGGAACTTGGGATCACCATATAGTCTCATATATTTTCCAACCAAGTGATGTGCATCGAATCCTAAAGATACCAATTTTCCCAGAGTATGATGATGTGTGGTACTGGCATGGGGACCAGAAAGGATGCTATTCTGTCAAAAACGGCTACAAGCTAATTGTTGGGAACTATACAAGTAATAATGATGGGCATTGATAAATGGCTCACCCTATGGAAGCATCCCCGAAGTGGAAGACATTTCTATGGAGAGCTATAAGTGATATCCTTCCCATTATCAACAATTTGCTTATAAAGAGGGTGGATGTGTTTCCGATGTGTGCCATGTGTGGAATCAGGCAAGAGGACACTATGCACTCATTAGTATCGTGTGGTTATGCAAGTTCCATATGGGCTCAATCTAACCTTCTACTCCCCAATATTGTGACAAATATTTTCCATGAGTGGTTTAGTGCAATCTTGAATGTTCTAGACACTGATGGAATTATATATGGAGCTGCAATTCTATATCATATTTGGAGAGCACGGAATAGAAGGAATAGAATGGTTTGGGATGCCTGTCTACCACTACCCATGAAGCTGGTTGCCGTGGCGGCCACCACCATGCATGCGTGGCGACGTGTACACTGCACGTTTGCCGATCGGAATGCTGCTGACAACACTGCTGCTACCGCCACTGCCGGACCGTCACTGTCTCCACTGCCGGAGCATGCTGCTACGATGGACACTGCCGGCATACGGCCAAGGAAGTGTTACGTAGATGTCGGGTATTATCACGCCATGAACTCAGCCACGGTAGGTGCAGTATTACTCGACGCCGACAGAGGATATATCGCGGCGTACAGTGTCCCTTTACAGAGTTGTTTCTCCCAACTCATGGCCGATGCGTTCGCGTGCAAAGAAGCTTTATCATGGCTACGAGCACGTGGTGAACATGCTATCCAGCTTTATACGGATTGTCATACATTGCAGTGCTATCTATCCTCACCAGGGGCTCCACCCAGATCGTATATTGGTTATGCTATTTATGGCTGCAAAGCTTGCATGTCTACATTTAATTTTTCCTAGTTAATTCTATAGCTTCATCAGAACATTCTACGGCTATGTATTGAGACTCTGTCTCTCCAAACTTTATTTCAATTTATCTCTAAATATAACCACATTGGTTACTTTCAAAAAAAAAAAAAAAAAAAAAAATTAGTCGTAGAATCTAAACTAAAATTACTCTTTTGAAAAGGGAAGTAAGTTAGTGGCGAGCATCATAGATTTCCTTCTGGCTTCTGCCAACAGAGGGAATTAGATCGATCTGAGATTCCTGTCCGAATCGCCGAGTCACGACTCGCTTATGCAGCAAAATCCGCCATGGATCGAGTTTTGAAAGCTGCGAGAACCTCTGGTTCACTCAACTTATCGAATCGTTCTCTCAGGTTGGCCACTTTAATTCGCTAATTAATGCGTTTAGTCTTTGCTTTATTGTTAATCGTAATAACTCCTTTCAATTAATAATGTTCGTAAGGGAAGTGCCAGACGAGGTCTACCAAAGCTTGGATGCAGTTAGCGGGGATGAGAAATGGTGGGAGGTATAGTTACACAGTTCACAAATTGTTTTTGAGACGTACATTTGTTGTTTATTTGATGATCGAAATTGAAATTCAAAATGATCAATTGCCATTTCTTGGTTGTTCAGCTGCTGAATTTATTTTTTGTCATTAATTAAAATTGAAATTTGAAGTTTTAGACTGTGATTTCTAGGCCATAGAGCTTCACCAAGTTGTATTTATTTATTAAATATGTGACAATTTGAATTTGAAACTTGAAGTATTTTATTGTGATTGATGATTTCTAGGCAGTAGAGCTGCAGAAGTTGATTTTGGCTCATAATGATGTTGAATCATTGAAGGAAGACCTCCGTAATTTACCTATGTTAACTGTGCTGAATGTTAGCCACAATAAGCTTACATGCCTTCCAGCTGCTATTGGAGAGTATGTTTTTTCAACATGTTTGTATATAAAACTCATTTGAATTTGTTTTGGTTCAAAGTTTCAAAGAATCTTCAGCTTACTGGTTTGCCTTTATTCTATTTGGGCAGGCTTCAAATGCTCAAATCATTGGATGTGTCATTTAATGTGATTCAGAGTATTCCAGAAGTAATTGGAGCAGCAGCAGCTCTTGTCAAGTATGTTTCCATTCTTTTCCACAATATAGCTTTTGCAAAAGAATTGAGAAACTGAGCTAAGATATTTTCATTTATACATGCTCACTCCAGGTTTGATTGCTCAAACAACCAACTAAATGATCTTCCTGATTCCCTTGGAAGATGTTCAAATCTAGCAGAACTCAAGGTAGTTCCTCTTGATAATTGTTAAGGTTTCAAAAGTTTGGATACTTGAATTAATGATGCACTTTGTTTATTGGTCTCTGTGTCATTCCAAAATGTGATTGGTGCAATGATACTGATCATAAATTTCTGTTGTGATATTGTACAATTAATATTGCATAATGCCTAGGTGTATTAAATTTCTACCAATCCATTTGCTTTTTGATTTGGTAAGGTAATGGTAACTCTGCCATGTGTATGAATTTTGGACATCTTAATGGAAATTTTAGATATCATGACATCTTTTGTTGATAAATGTATGTTGATGTTTGTGCAACTTCTGTATGCTTTCTGTTTGATTTCCCTCAGGCATCAAACAATAATATTTCGGGATTGCCAGAAGATCTAGCAAACTGTTCAAAATTAATGAAGTTGGAAGTGGAGGTACTAAAGATTGATTTAATTAATTGTTTTCAATGAATTTCTTACTTTCTGTGCGCCCATTTATGAAGTTTTGTGGTTTTTAAGCTCATTACATTTCTTCATCCAGGGAAACAAGCTACCAGTGCTATCTGAGAATTTGTTTTCATCATGCACAATGCTTACAGAACTGAATGCATGTAAAACTGTCTTTTAGATTTATTTTTGTTTTTATTTTTATTATATTTAAATCTGGTTGCTTGATAATTTGCATTTACATTTGGAAACTTTTTCAGCAAAAAACTTGCTGAAAGGCATCCCTGAAAATATTGGAAATCTTACGCGATTGATTCGCCTAGATGTTCATCAAAACAGTGAGTAAATCAAAATTTCAGAGTTCTTGAAACAAATCTGTTTCACTTTTCCCATTCTCTAATAAAGATTGTTCATATTGAGTTTTGTTTTCTTATTATTGGTACTCTGCATTATTTAGGTACTTTTTCTTGCCTGGCCTGATTTACTATCTTATTGTTATAATTTTGCAGGAATTTCATCAATCCCATCTTCAATAAAGGACTGCTCATCTCTTTTGGAGTTTTATATAGGGTATCCTCCATGCCATAAATCACAATAAACCCACTTTCTCCTGAGATTTTAAGTGTAGAAATTTTTGCTATTCTGAGTTCTTACTTTGAGCATTCCTCTCCAATAGGGGTAATGCACTTACTTCATTACCAGCAGAGATAGGAGCACTGACTCAATTGGCATCACTTGATCTCCATTCTAATCAGGTGGCTATTAACATACTAAGAGATCCCCACACTTTATTCACCAGTGTTTTAGTACACTAAAAAATCTCTTACAGTTTTATGATTGATGTGGTTTGAGAATTACTTGCAGAATGCTTTGGTATTTATAGTTTCTTTCTCAAAGATCAGTTGGTGTTTTTGATGGGGCTTTGGGTGTTTCAGTAAATTATGTTTTTCCTTGGTTTGTAGTTAAAGGAGTATCCAGTGGAGGCATGTAAACTGCATCTTTCAGTCCTGGACTTGTCGAACAATTCATTGTCTGGTTTGCCTCCTGAAATTGGTATTGTCAGAATCTTTGAGGAATATTGTGGGCTTACTTTGATGCATAGCTATATTGTTAGATATTTTCATATTAAACTTACTTCCCATCATTTTGAAGTTTGTATTATGAAACTGAAATGCTATCATTCTGGTTTGCCCTTTCTGATAAGGAATGACTGGAAGGCATAAGGCTTCTGTAATGTTTCGTTCTTAAATAAGCTGATGTAAGCTGTGTCAAATCATGTCAGGCTTAATGACAACTTTACGAAGGCTTTTACTCGCCGGTAATCCAATACGAACACTTCGGAGGTTTGATTATTATCTCAATTGTCCTTTTGGTTTTCCCTAATATGGAAAAGCTTACTCAATTGTTCAAAAAGTAATTCAACTATTTGCCACCTTTCATCTTCAGCTCATTGGTGAATGGACCTACACCAGCTCTACTAAAATTCCTTCGAAGTAGACTTCCAACTGATGAAGGTAATTTGGTTCTAAACTAGTTTTGGTGTAGGTTTGAGCATTTTGCTCGTAATGGCCTTGCATTAGTTGTTGAGTTTAAATCCTCATTTAATAGTTCAAGGGTCTTAGCTAATAGATACAATGAATTTTCTTCATTATTATGTTCTTAATGTTTGACAACAGTTAACTTTTTTTCTTGTTATACATAAAAATGTAGAGTCTGCCGCTAAAACACCTTCAAAAGAGGATGTAATATCCATGGCCAGAAGGATGTCCCTTACTTCAAAGGTTGTTCTTTCTACACACAGTTGTGAATTCTTTTCTTTTTCCTTTCTTTGTGGTCTTCTCCCATCTTTTAATATGTTTTGGAGGGAGGTTTTGGATGTGAATGATCCATCACTATGGTCCATTTATGAGACTTTACAGATACTATCTTTTTGGACTATTGATCCGAATATCCGATCTCCTATATCTTATCCTGACCTATTATAGCTTAACCTGTTGATACTTGCACTTTAGTTTAAACATTTCTTACAGAATTATATTGCGAATCTCCTTTATCTAGCTTTTGTTTTTACTAGTCTTTTTGTCTTTCAGGAAATTTCTTTAGCAAAGCTTGGTTTGACAGCTGTCCCATCAGATGTGTGGGAGTCTAATGATATCACAAAAGTTGATCTTTCTGGAAACTCAATAGAAGAGCTACCTGTTGAGCTTTGCTCTTGTGTTGCCCTTGCGGTAATATTTTCCACTGTTTCCTATATACAGTAAAGTTCAGCAGTATTAAACAATATTGGAAGTCCCCTAGACATTGACTGCTTAGAAAACTTCCATGCTAAACTTTCAGCTAAATAATGATCATCCTTAATTCCTTTTAAAAGAATGGTATAATTTCTTGCAGTTCATAGGAACTTAAAGCCTATTTCAGATTTTCAGCCCATACTCATACTCACTAGAATTCCATCCTTACAGCTAAATTAGGAAAGAACCTTTGGATCTAATATGCTTATACTTGCAGCACAAGATTATTTGCTTTGTTTTCTTCAGAACTGTATCTCTTTTACCCCACTGATCACTTACAATAGGGGCTGGATTACTGTATCTCACACTCACATCTATTATCCTGTGCTATTGGATTGGATTGCTGTAGTGTATGTTGGTGTTTTTGAAAGGGGTTGAGGATTAGCATTGTACAATAAAATAAGTTTTGTTATGTCTTATACTCTTACTAAATTTTATCTAATTTTTTACATTTGCATAAAGGTATGCTTCTGAGCTCTCAAGCATGCAATTTTAATTGGTAACATAGAGTTGTTTGTTAAAAAAAAAAAAAAAACAAGTAATGACATTATTTGTTAAGAGTCTCACATTGAAAAATAAGAGAGAAACATATGGCTTATAAGGCCATGGGTTAGATTAGCTAATTGATTGGATTCAATCTTTTAGTCTGGTTTGGCTCATGTGCATTTCAGCCTAGATGAGTGACCTTGGCCCAATCATAGATTCTAACATTGTTCACTAAAGCACTAAAGAAGAGCTTGCAAGAGTTACAGTTCTGTTGCTAAACCATTATATGTTTTAACATGCAGGCTTTAATTTTATCAAAGAACAAGATAAAGGATTGGCCTAGTTCAATCTTGATCTCACTTTCTAGACTTACTTGTTTGAGACTCGACAACAATCCTCTAAGAAAGGTAATTGGTTTTAGTTCTGGAATCTTTATTGTTCCTAAAATGAAGAATGCAATGCCGCCTTTCATCTTAAAGTTGTATATTGCTCTAACGATAGCTGTAGGAGAATGATGCAGATTAAAGAAGGCCTTATTATTGTTCTTAACATGAAATTGAAGAGCATTTTTCCTCAAGTTAATTCTGCTAGCCTTCAACTTCAAAATTGGACAAATTTACTCACACGACTTTATTGATATGGACACTTTTGGTCTGATCATGGATTTTTCTTTAGATTCAGATGGAAAATTCAAATGTGATAATGTTTGGAGGGTATTTTTGTCATTTTATCCTCCAATCTCTCAATTTCCATTGCATGTTTGGAGCTAGAAATGTGTTAAAGAAAAACTCTAAATCCATAAATTATTAAATGAAATTGTTACGTGCTAGTATAATTTCAGATGAGTCCACGACAATTACCTGGCAGGGACCAAATGGAATTAACTCTTTTTCCTCTTTAAAGTTGTACATTCTTTTAGTGTGTGTGTGTGTGTGTGCCCTATTTGGAGTTTTCAGATGAACCAAAGCTGTGCTCTCTAGGAAAAAAGCAGTGGCCCATTATCTATTTATGATGCAGGATTCTGTCCTTGATGAATTTAATAAATTGGCTAAAGAACTTAGTTTCTAAATCTTATTCATAAATTACTATTAAGTCATCACATGATCTGCATTCTGCCCTAAGTTTTCATGCTGTAACCAATTTTAGAATAATGGCAATATTTAAGTACATTTGACCACCAATTGTTTGGTATATGGTCTACCTCCTGGCTCCTGCTTGTTTGGCCTAGAGGAGAAAGTTCAATTTTCTCTAACAATTTTATTTCTAACTTGGTTTGCTGATCCCTAGATACCATCAGATGGCTTTCAAGCTGTGGCCAAGCTTCAGATTCTGGACCTAACCGGCAATATAGGTTCTTTGCCAGAACATCCAGCATTTTCTTGCATGCCAGACTTGCAGGAGCTTTATTTGAGGTTTGTTTAGTAAGATGTTACATTCTCATAATCTGATGTGTATTTGGCACTTTGGCATCACTTTCATTTTGTGCACTACTCTTATTCTACATAACTGAGCAGAAGGATGCAGATATCTTTAGTCCCATCTGACATAATGAGCTTGAAGCATTTAAGAATTCTTGATTTGAGCCAAAATTCCCTTCAATCAATTCCTGAGGTAACATCTTTTGTCTGATTTAAGTAAAAGACTTGTTTTTCATTAAGTATTGCCCTATATATATGAGCAGGTATTGTGTGAGATGTGCAATACTTTTTTGTTAAAATGTGATACTTTTCTATACACTAATAAAAAATTACACTTTAGTTAAAAATTTTTACACATGAGACAGTCTTACACAAGACTTTCACAAAAGGATCAAGCCTTGTACAAGATGTATATTTTTTTTGCGTATAAATCAAGCTATAGAAACTTGCAACATAGACTATGAGTGTCACATTGGATTGTTAATTGATATACCATGGAGCATGGTCCACCTTTTTATACAAATAAAATTAATATATAAAAAATATATCATTAAAAAGTTCTAATTAAGATCTTTTAAATGATGCCCATATTGATATTTTTATATTTTAGTATTTTATTATAATTTAAGATTGGGGCAATGTCACTCAACTCGACTATAATGCACATGGGCCAAACCACACTAAAAGACTGAATGCAATCAATTAGCTAGTTTAGCCCATGACCTTATAAACCGGTCATTATACGGTGGACCATGGTCCAAAAATGGCACCGTCTTTAAGTAAAGACCAAAAAAGAATAAATCCCGTATTTTTTGTGTTCAGAACAAAATAAAACTACAGTGTATCTAAAATGAAATTGAATAACTTGTCTCGCATATTGTGTTTATATTATCAAATGAAACTGTATTTGAATTGAAATGATACTTTAGTTGTGTTGAAATGAAACTGCAATATGTATAAAATGAAACTGAATAACATGTCTCACATATTGAGTGTATACTGTCAAATAAAACTGTAGTTGAATTGAAATGATACTTTAATTTTGCTGAAATGAAACTACAATATGTAACAAAAGAAATTGAATAATATGTCTCACATATTAAATGTATATTGTCAAATGAAACTGTACTTATACAGTGTATATAAAATAAAATTAAATAACAATTTCACATATTTAAGTATATATTGTCCAATGAAATTGTAGTTGAATTAGAATTATAATTTAGTGGTGTTGTAATAAGACTACACTGTGTATAAAATGAAATTCAATAACAGGTTTAACTGTAATGACTATTGTATGTATAATGTCAAATGAAACTATAGTTGAAACAAAATGAAACTTTAGTTGTGTTGAAATGATACTACAATGTATACAAAATGAAACTGAATATGTTATACAAACAGAACTAATTACGCGGAACGGGTGGCCCGTTTTGGACCATGGTCCCATTAAAAGAAATGACACTGTTTTGGTCCCATTAAAAGGAACGGCACCGTTTTGGACCAGGGGTACACACAGCTGTGTGGACTATGGTCCAAAACGGTGCCGATGAAAAGAAACGGCACAAATTTACCCTTATAATGGGGGAATCTTAACAGTTTTAAATTAACATACCATTATATTCAGTTACTATATTATGTTCATTTGCAAAATGCAGTTAGTTCATTTTTACAATAGAAATACATGATTATACTAATAAACATTAAATAAGTTCATTAAGCAAGCACTACAAGTTCATTTTCAAAATACCACATGTTCATTTTCACAAATGTAATCCAACTATATTATAATGTTGGATCTCAAATAGATAAGCGTTGTAGGTTCATTTTTACAATACTTTTATAATATTAATTAATACAACTACATCATAATACTGCTAAACCTAAACTAGATTCATTAAGAGAATATTAGGTTCATTTTCATATGTAGAAGGTTTATTTTATCAATATTGCAAGTCCATCAATAAACAACTAAAATTCAAAATATATTAATATGAGTATCATTCAAAAGATGTCAATGAGATATTTTTAATAATATATTTTGTAACGTTGATTTTATTGACTATGCTACACACCCCTAATTTAACCAATCACAAACCAACCCTCTATGATGTGGCAAAATTCTACATTAATAAAATTAAAATTAAAAAAGAAAAACTAATGCTTAGGATTTTGCCATGTCATGGAGTGGTTGGTTTGTAAGTGGTAAAATTAAGGGTAATTAGCAACAAAAAAAAAGTGTAAATGATAATATGCAAATTGATGTCATCTTAATAAACCTACAGTAGTATAATATTGAACCATAATCAATGATGCTTTTTAATGAACTTACAGTATTATAATAATGAACCATGGTCCATGATATAATTTGACTGTCACATATGCAGATTTTATCCACAGATTCATAGAAGCTTTAGATCTTAATCCTCTACTTTGTTATATTTGACTTGGCTGCAGGGAATGAAAGATTTGAATTCTCTTACGGAGCTGGACCTTTCAGACAATAATATTTCTTCACTTCCACCCGAACTAGTAAGCACTAAGCATACAAAGCTTCTATATCTAGAGAGCCATGACTGTCAATTTCTTAAAAGTGCACAGTATTGAAAGCATGCGGATATGAGTTATTGCATTTCTATTCTGGTTTTCTCAATTCTGTGAGACAACATATACTTGCTTGTGTAGACCTGGCCCTTTTTTAGGGCTTGATTTAATCATGTCAGAAACGATGGTAAAAACAAGATCCAGTCAAAAGCTTTCAATCAGCATTGCATCTCTTTCCTTCAAAGCATGAAATTGCAAAAGAATGTTAAGTTTCTAAATACAAAGTTTATCTTTCTGCACATTAACTCATTGCTTTCCCAAAAATGTATGTTCGTAGGGTTTACTGGAACCCAGCCTGCAAGTGTTAAAAGTTGAGGGAAACCCACTGCGGAGGTACAGTATTATTTTCTTTGATATTGTGCATCCTGATTATCACAAATAGTCAAGGTCAATTAACAGATTCTTTTCCCTTTTTCCACCCCCAGCATCCGAAGGACAATTTTGGATAGAGGAACAAAAGCTATTTTGAAATACTTAAAGGACAAAATTATTGAGCATTAACACCTTTAATCTGGTCTGAGTTCTTTTTGGAGCTTTACTTTTTGGGTCAATGTGAAAGTAAAAATTGTATCTTTAGCCTTGTATCTTTTATGACCAAGTTTCATATCAAAGACCATCTGCAACTTCCTTTTAAACTATTGATGTATCTTTCCTGTGTGATTGTTTGGGAAAATAGATAACTATTAATGTTGTTGTAATTGGTGTACTATGTACTGAAGTTCAATATGAGAATATTGCTGATGCCTTTGCAATTGGCATAGTATTATGAACTCAATTTCATTAAGCATGGTGTACTACAATAATAGCGATAGTGCAGAAATTTTTTGTACCCCATTTTAGTACTCAAATGATTTCTGCCATTTAAGTACTAAACTATTGCTATTGTTGATTACTTTATACAAGCTTGTGAATGGTGCAACTGTCAACTAAATACAAACAGCAGTTACAGCAAAGGTTATTGCTGTCGGCCTGTTAAATAGATAAGTTTTACAGCAGCTACGTGCCTGTTGCTTTGACGTTTTCATCATCATTTGTGCCTGTTGCTTTGACGTTTTCATCATCATTTTCACCGTCCCGCAATAGTCTGAATTTGATAATCTTTTGAAGCTGGGTTATTGGATTTACTTGCTTGACTGATGCTTGCTTAGGATCTGCTATGCATTTCCCCGAGAAAAGGTTAGCATCAGATGGACCTGTCTCTTCATGAACCACTGGAGGGGCATCTGGATGAAAGAGCTTTATTAAGACAGATGATCATTGAACCATTGGCTCAATATAACAGCCATTAAAATGACGAGATTAAGTGTTGACAACAGACACAAACGGAATATAACTCTATTAATTGAGGTGACTGAATGAGCATAGTGAGAGCAAGGTGCAAATGACTTAATATGGTTCTAGAAAGCAGCAAATGGATCAAAATATTTTTGCGAATGATATATGGATATGAACCTTATGCCAATATGAAAACCAATGCTATTCCCCATGTGTTTGAACCCCATTTTTCTAATCCTCTTAACCGATTTATACATGATATATGAGGGCATACATAATCTAGAATCAAGATTGCATGTGCCTATATACATGCCAGTTAGCATTTTGATAAATATTGTCACATGAGGGCCAATATCTAAGCTTTACAGCACAATCTCCTCATTTTTCAGTTAAGGTCTCCAAGATTAGCACCTTGATGTAGGTTAATAGCAAAATTTGTGATGTAGGTTAATAGCAAAATTTGTAATATGGCTCACCAGTTTCACCAAAGACGAGGCATGTTCCAATAGTCTCCACATATTCCCCTACCTGTAAAAAAATCAAAAGGGAATTATATGAGCTCAGAAAATGATTCAACTACACACCACACTATGATATGAAGAGGGCATGTGCTATTATACAATGATTTAGTCCAAATTGAAACACACTACTGTTTCATGCCAATGACTCAATGAGGAACTTGGGACATGCTGTTTTTTTTTTTTTTTTTTTGGGGGGGGGAGGGGGGAGGGTGACGAGAGAAACCCGCAGCCACTACCCGAGGGGGTGTGCACTTGCTAAACCCCGTCTTGTAACCCTAGCTGGCAAAGGAACACAAAGAGATAAACCAATCTAGGTTGCCCATAGTCGACAGGCTCAAACCAATAAGGTTGAGATTCGAACTCGTGGTCTTATGGTTAACAAGTCTATATCCTTAGCCAACTTAGTTGGGGTTATCCTGGGATATGCTGTTTTGTTGTGCTAATGAGGCAAACAGGGAGGAGGGGAAGGAGAGTGAATGGACATTTTACAGAACATATCATTATGCTATTCTTTTTTTTTTTTTTTTTTTTGAAACACATGATTCTTGGGAAAAAAAAAAAAAAACGCATGGCCTAAGGCAGCTTGAACAACTAAAAACATGTAACTTTTTCCAAAATTTGACTACAGACAACATTCCAACCCAGAGAAAGTTGGAGTTATTTAAAGAAAGAGATTAATCAAAAAGTTAAAACTCGAGAACTCACCAGCTTGATTTTTCCATCAATGGTCAAAATGGGGTTCAACGTATCAAGGCCCTGCATTATTTATTAGAATACATAGGTGTCACAAAATCAATACAAATCTATGCATAAATAATTACAGAAGAAATTAAAAGTATTTATAATACAGTATATAGGAAGGAAAGCAACAAATTCATACCGAAAGAACATAGGGGGCGTTTGGGGGAATTGAAATTTGATCAGAAACACTGTCAAGATCCATCAATACATACTCTTCCTCCTTCAATTCATGATCATGCCGCTGAAAATTCTGCTCCATAACTATTTAATTTCACCTTAAATATCCACAAAGTATCCGTGTAAACAGGGTTCGTAGTGTTTGGCGGAGAGGAGGAAGCAGAGGCTACTCAGGCTAGGGTTTTGCTTCTGCACTGTGCGTCTCTCCCTCTCTCTGCAGGGCTGGAAGCTAGGTCACTTTGGTTTGAGACTAAATTTTTTATTTTATGAAAAAGAGATTTTTAAATGTGAAATCTTTTTCATAACATTTTTAATTTTTAATTTTATGAAAAGATTCTCGCCAAGGAAAAATCGTAATTAGCTAGGTTTATATTTTTTAATTTGAGAAAATCTTTTCACTAATTTGATAAAATAATAAGCTCTAAACAACAAACGATATAAAATGTCCCTTTTACGATTTTACTTTTCATTTTAACACTTACTTCCTACCAAATCTAACGAAAGACAATTTTAACTTAAAATTCAATAGTTGGAGAACCACTTTGGATGCAATTAAAAGTCAAGGAACGAATTTGAGAAAAAGTCATAGTCGGATGACATTTTGGAAATTAACTCATTTTTAAAATATTTAAAGTAGTTAATTAAATATTATAATCATTTATATTTATTAATTATCAGTAGACTAATTGACCTTATTATTAAATAATGAGTTAATGCTCAATTTAGTTATTGACTTTAATGATTTCTTTGATTTAGTCATAAATCATATGTTGTGCTTAATTGGATCATTGACTTTGTTAATTTTACTTAATTGAGTCATTTGTTAAAATAACTTGATAATTTCACCTTTCTATTGATACTCAATTTAGCCATCGACTATAGTAGTTTTGTCTAAATTAATCTTAGACTATTATTGTTTTATCTAATTTAGTCATCAATTATAGTGCCTTTTATCGATTTAGTCATTAATTTTAACAGCTGAGAACTCAATTGGATAAGATCATCAAAGTCGAGTACCTAATTAAACACAAAAAATTGATTAGGACTAAATCAATGAGTAAATTGGATATTAAATCATTAAATAATTGTATTATAATTAATTTGACTCAGGTTAGAACCGTTAGATGATACCCTTATTATCCAACAACAAATAAGTTTCAAATAATTTAACAAAATATGGCAAAACGGTATGCATTACTATTTTTTAAAGGAAAAAAAAAAAAAGAGAGAATTAAAAATCTTTTTGGGATTTGTTAAAATCGAGGTCGTGAAAAACTGGCGCGATTGGAATATAATCATCCTAGTTGGCAAGTAATGTTTGTCTGACACGGAATTCCACAAATTCGCTTACTTGGGCTGTCTGGGTGCGCTCCACGTGTCACCCCACTCACGACACCTCAGCTTCCGCTTTCAGCAACCTACGGACATGTCTTCGCACTGTCCAGAAATCCAACACCGTTTTTTGACCGATTCAATTTCTTGAAGTAATAATTAAGAAAAGAGTTCGGTAATTGAATTATTAAATGTTTAAAATTTTCTAACTAAAATCAGAAAAATCTGTTAAAATAATAAAGAATCGGATTTCTGGGGAAGATTCTTCTCCTTCCTTACTAAGATTCTAGACAGACAAAAGCTTGTGACAGCCAAGAAATGTGGCCATAAAAGCAAGCTCAACCAGTTGGACATTTTGACATTTTTGTCTTTAGTTCGCTCTCCATTTTTTTTTTTGTGGGTTTTTTGAAATTTACTTTTTTTTTTTTCTTTAATTGCGGCAAAAAGTTGAAAATAATCGGCACTCATAAAAGCTTCACCGGTCGCTTTCCTCTTCTCCTTTTCTTTCTTTCTTTCTTTCTATATATATATATACGTATATATTACTCCAATGACTCCGCTACTGAATTCTCCGTTCTTCACATACTTGAGATCTCGCAAACCCCTGGGTTTCTCTCTTTCTGTTCTGATTTTCTTTGAATTTTGGCTTCCTGTACGGTTTTGAGATCTGGGTTTTTAAAATTCTTTTGAAGCTTTACTTGGAAAAGTTTTGAATTGGGTTTTCACTTTTCAGCTTTGAAGGTTCCGTCTTCTGATGATAATTTCACTGAATCCACGATTTTCGTATTCAATTTTGTCGAATTTCGTTAAATCTGATGTTTTCTTCATAAACTGTCTCAACTGTCTCCGATTTCGCCTAAAAATTTGATAGCTTTCGTATTTCTGGGATTTTTTTTTTTCTTTTTCCGATTCTGGGTTTTACATTTTGTGGATGAAAATGGGGGATAAATTGAGGTCAGCTTCCATGGATGACTTGCCAGTGCATTTGGTTCTTGAAATCTTGACGTCGGGTCGATTGAGCTCTGTTGATTTAGTGAGTTTAGAAATGAGTTCGAGGACTTTCAGGTTAAGTCATGGGATGTTTCCTAAAGAATTCAGGTCTTTGGTGGAATTCGCTGCTTTTCAGCTTTGTGTCTCGCACCCCATATATGCTTCTCTTCAATTCAGTGCCCGGAGAGAGCTTCTGAATCGGTGTAACGATAATTGGAAACGCGTTCTCAGATTCTTGCAGTCCGTGAAGCAATCCTCTGACATGGTTGAAACCTCTGCAGGCAATGTACTAATTCTTAGAAGCTTTTGTCTTTTTGTTTATCCATCATGAATGTGTTTTTGACATTGATCATTTGTTTAAATTGAGGTTTTAACTGCATAGGAACTTCCTTATATTGATTGTTGTGCTGAATTTGTTGTTTTGAAATAGCAAAGTATATCTATATTACCCTGAAGTACTAGGTGGAAGAAACATATTTGTTGTGATTCAGATATCAAGGTCTTGTTGTTCTAGTTTCTTGGTTATGGGTGATTATGGCTCTGTTTTGCATACTTAGCTGAAAAGTTAGCTAAATAGCCTGTTTTGGAGCCTACTTCGGGTAGTATTTCAAAATAAGCTGTTATTTTAAGCTCTCTATTTTTACCGAACAGAGTTTATAGCTTATTTGTAGCTTAAAATAAGGTATATGCTCTAAAATAAGTTCTATCAAACAGAGCTTATATGTTGTGGGCTATTGAGGGTTGAGTGCATTATTGCTTATTACTACATGTCATTGGCAGATGCAAATTAAGAGCGGAAGATATCACACCTTGTTGATTAATGATGCGGCTGTATACTCATGTGGCTCGAGTTTATGTGGTGTTCTTGGTCACGGGCCTGAAACAACGCAGTGTGTGGAATTTACACGCATCAGCTTCCCGTTTCCTGTACAAGTCATCCAAGTTTCAGCCTCCCACAATCATGCCGCTTTTGTGACCCAGTCTGGAGAGGTAAACACGGTCCATATTTAGCTATTTCTTCTTATATGTAGGATAAGTATTAGCTCTTCGGATACTTGTTCATATCATCATTGACAGCTTGTGTCATGAGTTCCTTTATTTAACTCCATTGGATATTGAGTTTACTATGTTTTATTCTTGTTTTTGGGTATATTTGCTGTTTCCTAGGACTAATGTCTCATATGTATATTTATGTAGGTATTCACTTGTGGAGATAACTCATCCTTCTGTTGTGGGCACAGTGATACAGGTCGCCCTATATTCAGGCCTCGGCTTGTAGAGGCACTAAAGCATATACCCTGCAAACAGGTAGATATACCTCATTATTCCGTTCTACTATAGACACAAAGGTTTCGCCTTATTTGCAACATAAACATGGGAAGATGTAAAACTTTGCTTTATATAATTTATTATTCATATATAGAAGCAAACCTGTAGCCATTATCCGAGGGTGTGCACTTGGTAAACCCTACCTTGTGACCCTACTCGGCAAAGGACCAGAAGAAGGTAAACGAGCTTACGAGCCTAGATTGCCCATAGCTGACAGTTCAAACCAAGAAGGCCAGTAGGCTATTCCCGCTAGGAGCCAAACTTGTAACCTTGTGGTTACTAAGTTAACAATCTGACCAACTTGGCTGGGGTTGAATATGCAGCTCATGATTGTTGAAACTGGTTCAGGTTGCGGCAGGTCTGAGTTTCACCATGTTTCTTACGACACTAGGCCACGTCTACACATGCGGGACAAACGCACAAGGTCAGCTCGGTCACGGTGACACACTGGATAGGCCAACGCCTAAATGCGTAGAACTGCTTGCATCCAATGGCCCTGTTGTTCAAATTACTGCTGGCCCGAGCTATGCCCTTGCTGTGGCAAGCGATGGGTTACTCTACTCTTTTGGTTCGGGCACCAATTTCTGTCTTGGCCACGGGGAGCAGCACAATGAACTTCAGCCTCGTGCAATCCAGTCGTTTAGGAGGAAGGGCATTCATCTGCTCCGTGTGTCTGCTGGCGATGAGCATGTTGTAGCACTCGATTCCAACGGATATGTAAGTCATCAAACCGTAATAAATTGAATAACGGATTCTTTGTCTGTTCCACTAACTGTTTATGGTCTTCTATCGGTTATTGCAGGTGTACACTTGGGGAAAAGGTTATTGTGGTGCACTCGGGCACGGAGATGAGATCGATAAGACTACTCCAGAACTTGTCGACAACCTTAAGAGCCACCTTGCCATTCAGGTTTTCTAAATCTCTTTCACTTCTTTATAGGAATCATTAACTGAGATCGATAAGACTCTTCCCCTCTCATTCTTGAGCTCAGCCAAAAATTGGTTTGGTTTCGATGATAGGTTTGTGCCAGTAAGAGGAAAAGTTTCGTGTTAGTGGATGATGGTTCGGTGTTTGGCTTTGGGTGGATGGGTTTTGGTAGCCTCGGGTTCCTTGACAGAGGAGTATCCGATAAAGTTGCAAGGCCTCGGGTCCTCGACAGCCTGAGATCCCATCACATATCCCAGATTAGCACCGCCCTGTACCACACCATAGTAATCACGAGTCGCGGGCAAATCTTCGGGTTTGGAGATAACGAAAGAGCGCAACTTGGAATAGATACGCTCCGGGGATGCCTAAATCCTACAGAAATTCAGCTGCAGAAAGCATCACCAATGTAGAATACTGGTAAAAGTTTAAGTTGATTTACCATTAGGAGTTTAGCCATTGTCATACCTATTTCATATCATTCCAAGAACTAATTGTGGTGCTGTAGTTCTAGGATCTGTTGTGAATTGTGACTGTTTATGTTCACCAAAAACAACTTTGTTTCCTATTTTCTTCTTGTTTTGCACTTGTACTATCTTTACAAATGCAAGTATGCAAGGATATTTTTTATAAAATAGTCTTTTTTTCCATGGTTGCAAAAATCAGTCTAGACGCCCGCCTAGGCATCCTTAGATCGTGGCGATTTCTCTCCTAGGCGCCCGCCTAGCGCCTAACTCGGCTGACTCGGACACTTAAGTAGCCGTTTAGCGCCTAACTCGACCTAGTTAATTTGTCTAGTAATCGAGTTAATCCAGTGAGCTCGATCTTGCTAATTATTATTATTATTATTATTATTATTATTATTATTATTATTATAAATATAAAATATGACATATATACACCCACACACGTGTACTATTTTTTTTTTTTTTTTAGTTAGCCGCATAAGCGCCCGCCTAGACCGTCTAGGCGTTAGGTGCTACTCTGGACGGCATATGCAACCAGGTTTGTTCTATAGTTTTTTCAATCTTTTTCAACACAGAAAATTAATGTTTATTTGATCGTATCCATTTAAAATGGTAGCAGAGGTTTGCAGTACATTAGTTTGCATGCAAAAATACTATTATAACCTTATATTTCTAGAATCGAAATTGCAACTCTTCCTAAAAAAAGATTGAAAATGTTGCTTTTGAAGTTGAGTTGTGATACTCAAAGAAAGCAATGTTCCTTGAAAACACCAAACTTAACATTATAGTGAGGAAGTTGAGGTCTGAGATTCTTCCAAATACTGACGAAAAACCCGCAAGATGTTGGAGAATGTCACAATTCCGACCAGGCTCCAATCATCCTCAATCACCCAAACATAATTAACACGATTTGCGATGGCCTGGATCATCACCGCCGCCAGAGAGCTGCCGGGATGGCACACGATGGCCCCCGCTCTTCTGCTCATCCTTAACGACTGGCTACTGGAGGAGTTGCCGTCAATGTAGGCCATGAGCTCCCCGGCGGAGAGGGCGGCGACGGCGGCCGCCAGAGTCTCGTCGCAGGCGGCGAGGGCGGAAGGGGAGATCTCTCTGATGAGAACGCCGTCGTCGTCCACCACCGCCACCGAGGTTTGATCGGCGAGGGAGCGGTGAATGGCCTTCAGAGCTGATGACGCCGGGGAGTGGTACCCGACGGCTGGGAAGTCGGCGGCGATGACCCCCAGCGCGTGAATGGAGAGCGCCGGGAGGGGCGAGAAAAGGCCGATTGAGCCCAGAAGATATCTCATAACATCTTCTTGAGTTAACCAGCAGAATTCCTGGGCGTTATGAATGGTTGTGATGGTTGAAGGTGTCTTCTTTTGCAGAACAAATTTTCTTCTTGATGATGATCTTACTCTCTCTATAGGAACTACAAGGTTCTGGACACCTTGGGCCATCAAATCAATGGCTTCTACTATGCTGCAATATAATCACATTAGCATTTTAATTAGTTGGATTAATTAACCATACAATTATGTTATGTAATCTCTATATAAACTTGCTTCTCATTAAAAAAAAATAAAAAATTTACTCATTTTGTCTAGGTGTGGTGTGTAACATGTTGTTGTGTGTTGAAAAATATATTTTTGAGATTAGTTACTCGACTCTTAATTTATTGATTTGTTGTGTTGAAAAATATATTTTTGAGATTAGTTACTCGACTCTTAATTTACTGATTTGTCCTTAGTTATTAAGTTGTTCACGCGCATCTCAAATTTAAAGATTTAATTATAAAATTGAGATTTAACATTTGGTCGTTGATCTTGCAAAATTTATGTGGTCCATATTAGTCTATAGTTCTCACGGGGACTAGTTATCATTTGACCCCATATACACACACATTTGTGATTTTGTGTATAAAGGGTATTCCCAAGAACTCAACTAGTATTAAGGAATCCTAAAAATGATTATTTCCTTACAATGAAAATAGTTCATTTTTAAGAATGTTATTCATAGTTACTCTTTAAAATAAAATGTCAAAATAAACAATAGAATGGGTCTATTCTTAAAAATGTTATTTCATTCATGATCCATTTTATAAACAAAAATTGCTGCAAGTTTCTACTAATTGGATGATCGATGGAATTGATAAATTCCTTCACTCCAATCACAAGGGAAGCCAATTATTTTTACTACTATTTTCTATGAATATACTTATTAGCATTCCGGTTATGAATTAATTATATTCGAATAGGAATTTTTTTTTTTAAACAATTATTTTTACTCTTGTTCTCACAATTATTAAGTCATTCTACCATTTTTTTTTCTTAAATATCATTTTTGTCACATTTAGTGCATGAATTTAATATTTTATTACATATGGTCCTTCTAATAAATTTTTTTATATAAAAAAAGTAAATGTGTAACACATCTAATTAAGAAGTATACATGTTGACTATCTAAGAGCCAAAGTGGTTATGTAGTTCCAAACTGAAAATGAGATATATTTCTATTAACTTTTCTCTCTCTCAACATTCTCATTCTTTCACATCACATTATACTTGCAGTAAGTATTACGGAGTACTTTTTTAGTATTAGTATATATCACATTTTCTATCATAACCCAAACACTCGTCTCATATAGATAAAAATATGTGAGACGACCTTACAATAGGCTGACTATGTTAAAAGTGAAAATAGTAAATAAAATTTTATCAAAAACATTTAAAAAAAAAAAAACAAAACAAAACAAAAAAGAGGATATTATATATTCTAGTAGAGTAATAGTACCTGGAAGAAGGTTGGACGTGGCGAATGGGAATGGGGCCAGGGATCTGAGAGAGCAAGACAGAAAGCGGTGCTGCAAGAGCGAGACCCAAAGAATTGGAAGGGGAAGAAAGATTCTCCTCCTCTTCCTGCACTTTGCAAAGGTAAGAGATGATATCAACCATGCAGATTTTCCCAATGCACACGCACCCTCCTGCACCTATGTTCTCGCCGCCGGGAGAGTGGTCGCAGCTCCACACGCTGATGGCGGCGTCCTCGCCGGAGTTGAGCGCCGCCAGGGCGTCTCCCACGCTGCCCGACGCCACCGACAGTGACCTCAGCGCTGGCTTGCCCAGGCAGAGATCAGCTACCTTATGACCCAACAACCCAGTTGCCATGCAATTAAGTACAAAGAGTTAGAGAGAGAAAAGAGTGTTTGGTTGAATTGGTTATTTTGGGTTGAAGATCAGAGTTGAAGCTTACTTATTAAGGAGAGTGTTTAGCTTGGATCTCCAACTACACTTCAATACCTACCCCCACGCACTCCTCACGCTCCCCACAACTAGTTTTCATTTCTACATTATTAATTAATTACACCAACAATATAATGTTATTTTTATTCACGTTTTCTAACTAAGTATTTTAATTAATGACTTACATGTTAAGTATCATAATTGCTACATATTTGGGATATCAATCTTAGCTCGAAATTGATGAGATGATCCGATAAAACCTACAGAATCTCAATCATTATTGCATGGACTATGGTCCACACAATTGTGTGGACCATAAATAAAAGGTATATTTTTAATATACTAAGAGTACATTATTTATGTACATAAGGTACATTTTTTAAAGTACATTTTTAATATACTAAGGGTACATTATAAAATGTACCTTCAGTATAAAAATAATGTACCTTTAGTACAAAAATAATGTACTTTTAATATATTAAAAAGAGTAAATACCTAAAATGGTCCCTCGACTATAGCTAAATTCACAAATTGGTCATCGACTTTCAATTTCAACCAATTAAGTCCTTAACTTTGCAATTTTGACACGATTTGGTCCTCCATCTATTTGACCATTTGTTGACCGTAATCGACGATCTCCAGAAGAACCTTCAGCTCTCGTTGGAGCACATGGAGGCCTCTAGGATGACGTTGCACCGGTTCAGAAACACGTAGTCTTCTTCACTCTGGTACGAACTCAACTACATTGAATTCAAAGGGAGGATGAAGAAAGGCGACCGGATTTGGTAGATTGTTTTCGACAGTGGATTCAAATGTAACAGTGCGGTCTGGAAATGCAACCGGAACCTTAAAAACCCGACAATGAACCATGAAATTACATATATATCCTCAAAAATCACAGTCAACAAACGGTCAAATATACAGAGGACCAAATTTTGTTAAAATTGCAAAGTTAAAGACTTAATTGGTTAAAATTGAAAGTCGAGGACCAATTTGTGAATTTAGCTATAGTCGAGGAACCATTTTGAGTATTTACTCTATTAAAAAGATACCTGATATTCATGGTCCATACAATTGTGTGGACCATGATCCACACAATAATTTGCCACAAAATCTTAAAGTTAGGGCTCAAATATTTTAGTCCAATAAAAATCAACCTGATAAGCCTGAAACAATAAGCCTAGTGACCCGAACGGGCTAGCATAAAATTTAGTGGGCTAATTCGATAACTAGAGTCACTTAATCATATTCTTACCCCATTCTCTAGCTACATAGTTCTTCGAGACTGTACTCTGTTCGGACCAGAAGACTTGTAACACTGACTTATCCAAAAATATTGACAACTTTTTGACTTTTCGTTCTGCCTCTACTAGTAACATGGATTTTTTTGCACCTATTAAGCAATTTACCTCATTCATAATTCGTATGTGATGTGTAATACTATAACATGTCAATGCTAGAGATTTCAAAAGTGATTTAGATCGTACTTAGGTTACTTACATATCTAAACACATTATGAAATGCCAACTTATATAGTGTTAAACTTAGATTTAAGATTAGTGGTGGAGCTACTTCATTAAGTGGGTCAATTGACCCTACTCAAATTTTGTTATTTAGTGCTTTTATATATATATATATATATATATATATATATATATATATATATATATATATATATATATATATATAGAATCGCACTCAGGTGCGAATGCTTCGCCCAGGCGCGAAATAGGAATGAATTCTGTCCGTCCACGTGTTCAGATCTAATGGATGTAGAGATGACCACGGTTCCGGTTCGAACCGTATGTTCGAACCGGAACCGTGACTGTGCAAACCGGAACTGAACCGGAACCGTTCGTACGGTTCCGGTTCCGGTTCTTAACTGGAACCTATAAGGTTCCGGTTAAGGTTTGTAAAATCTTGGAACCGGAACCAGCGATTCCGGTTCCAAACCGAAAAAAATTAAATATTATAGTATTATTTTAATTTTTTTTTAAAATAATTCCGGTTAGAACCGGCGGTTCCGAACCGGAATCGGAACCGTGGTCACCCCTAAATGGATGAGAAACACTGATTTTTTTTAAAAAACGCGGTGGCATTTTCGTAAATAATTGAACATCGAGGTGCAAGTAAAATGTATTACAAGTGCATGTAAAATGTATTATAGGTGCAAGTAAAAATTTACACTGAGCATCAATACTAAGTGCACCTATAGTTATAAGTAGTTGCAGCTATAGTTCTAAGTAGTTGCACAAATAAGTATAAGTAGTTGCACCTAGGTGCATGAATATTTGCGAGTGGTTTTCAGGGGTATTACTACCCGCTGAACTCAGATCAATGAATGTTAACAAGGCAAAATTACATGCACTTATAGGTGAAAGTAGGTGCACCTATAGTTATAAGTAGTTGCACCTATAGTTATAAATAGTTGCACATATAGTTATAAGCACACCCAGGTGCATGAATGTTTGCGGTAAGTGAATGCTAACAAGACAAAATTACATGCACTTATAGGTGAAAGTATGTGCACTTATAAGTGATTTTACTTGCACTTCGATGTTCAATTATTTACAAAAATGTCACCGCATTTTTTTAAGTTATTAGATCTGGACACGTGTCGCGCGCTGATTCGTTCGCATATTCCTTTCTGGGCACTTATTCGCACCTGAGTGCATCTATATATATATATATATATATATATATATATATATATATATATATATATATAAAAGCAATAAATAACAAAATTTGAGTAGGGTCAATTGACCCACTTAAATGAAGTAGCTCCACCACTAATCTTAAATCTAACACTATATAAGTTGGCATTTCATAATGTGTTTACTTAGATTTAAGATTAGTGGTGGAGCTACTTCATTTAAGTGGGTCAATTGACCCTACTCAAATTTTGTTATTTATTGCTTTTATATATATATATATATATATATATATATATATATATATATATATATATATATATATATATTTATTTATTTATTTATTTATTTATTCCACTAAAATAAATATAATGGGGTTAACATGTAAATAGAAAATTTTTATTTCTCAAATATAATAATAACAAATTTAATAACTCTTTTTTCACTGTTGGAAATTATGGAATTTCCGACCACTTGAAAGTGATTTTAAATCAAGCCGAAAGTCTTGTTTCGACCACTTTTGGTATCCGGAAAAACCTTTGTTGCTATTTTCGACCACTTTTTACTTTCGACTTGATTTAAGATCACTTTTAGGTGGTCGGAAATTCCATAATTTCTAGCAGTGTTTTTTACTCGTCAAATTAGTTTTAATATTATCAGTGGTACGATTACTTCAAGTGTTAAAAGAATTTTTTCCAGCAATGAAGATAGTGAAAAATATATTATGCAATCAAATGAAAAATAAATTGATGAAAGATTATTTAATTACTTTTATTGAAATGAATGTGTTTGAAAGTGTTGATAGAGAAAAAATTATACGTTTTCAAATTATGAAAACATGTTGTGGATAATCGTAAAATAAAAATATTTATTTATACATGTAACTTCTTTATTTGAAGAATTGTAAATGTAACTTATATTTATATATTTATATACCGTTGAGAGTAATATTAAATTTAGTATTTTGACATTACTGAATTTTTATCCTGGCTCTACTTAAAGATTAGTTTTCTTCCACATAATTTACACTTCAAATAAAAAGTTAAATTGAAAGATTATTACATTTATAAATGGTCAAAGACAAGTTGCATTGATTGTGGGTTTTTTTTAATAAATAAATTAACAAATTTTTTTTTTTTTTGTAACTTTTCTTCCTCGCAATAAGCTGCTTATTATTTTTCGAAACTCGAATTCTAACATAAAATATCTTATTTATTCTTAATTAATTGTTAGTTTGTTACTCATTCTATCTTAATTTTGTACCACGATAAATTGGATGAAATAAATAAAGGGACAAGTTTTAAATGAAGGGTAGAAGAAACAGTATTTATTGTGTATCCCCCACTCGACTAGTCCGTTTAGTACTACATACACCAAAACTTAATAGTTAAGACTTGAATTGGTTCCAAATCACCACACGTTTGTTTCGCAAATTTACCAGGCTGGCGCAATCGTTATACCGTGCATCTCCGCGCCTCCTAAAACGACGTTGTTTTGTTAAGTTGCGTGGGAAGTTAACGCAATAGAATGTACGTGTATTCTGTTATATAATTATGTACATTATTTATACAATTATGTACATTTTGTTATACAATTATGTACATTTTTAAAACATAAGATTTTTTTTTTTTAAGTTACAGCCGACACGGAAAGCGAAATTTTCAAAAAAAAAAAAAAAAAGTATAAAACGATGTCATTTTGTAACATGTGCGTCTTAGTGCACAATATAAATTGCCAGGCTGGCGTTGCGTCCTAAAGAATGGTTGAGGTGTTTGGCCGTCACCCTTCTAATCTTGTGGCTTTTATAAAAACAAGTCTAAATTTACATTTATTTTTGACAAAGACTTTGCATTTATTTAGGCCGTTCCATAAAAATTAATTACCTTCATATTTTGGTTTTATGTCCTTTCAACGTGTCAAACATTTTATCAATCATCAATTTGTCACCGGTAGAGATTACAGGCTGTTGGGTTGTTGCCTTTGTCCTATATATGTATCCAATTATAAATTCATTTCTGTATCGCTATAACTTGTAGCACCGATTTCTCCTTCATCTTCTTAACTAAGCTAAGAATCTCCATTAATAACCTTAGCTTAAAGAGATGATATTACATGTATTATTATATATTTATCAATATTGCAAAAATCCCGCCTAGGCACCGATTAATCGGCGCCTAGGCGCTAGGCGCTGGCCAGCCGCCTAGCGTATCAGCATAATCGGTGGTCTAGGTGACTGGCCGGCTAGGCGGCCGACTAGGCCGCCTAAGTGCCGTCTAGGCCGCCTAGGCACCGAGTAGGCCGCCTAGGCACCGACTAGGTCGCCTAGCCGGCCAATTAACTATTGTTCCA